AAGTGAAAGCCTCTTTGCCAGATTTTTCGGACTTTTCAAGCCTTCAAAGCCTTTCACTGCAACTGGCTGCAACTGTAAATCCCAGAAATATGATTATATTTCCCCAAACTTAGGTTTCGGTTTCGGGAAATGTGTTTTTTTGCATTTACCGCAGATTTTAATTTCTATCGAAAATATTTGTATAAAAATTAATATGATTATGATATGATATATAAGGAGTATAAAAATAAATAAATATACATATGTATAAGTAAATAAATATATATGTAACAAATAAAATAAACTCTATTGAGTAGAATTATTATTATTAGAATTAAATTATTATTAGAATTAAATTATTTTTTAATTTTTTGATACTACAATTTAATTTTTGAGCTCAGTCTCTTAAAATAATTTTCTACTCTTGAAAAACTAAAATACAAATAAAAAATAAAATTTATGCAGAGGACCTAGAAGCTTTGATGACTTCTCAAATTTATGCATGAGTAGGTAAAGCCATTGAGGCGTCCAGGGTATATAGACTATCTTTTCTAGTCAGGAGAATATATGTGTATAGCTATATAGTTTCTCATTTATTTATGAGCTAGATATAAAATATAGCTATTAGATATACATATATTAAATAGGTGAGCGGATTTTGAAAATTTCTGCTTTATTCACTTTCCCCATTTGCAACCAATTTTATCGGCCATCTCATTCCCAATTTGTTAGTATACTAGAAGCAATTGGCTATTGGCTTACCACATATGCAAATAAGTATTGCTGACCGTGCAGGGTATTTGGCAATCGAAACTACCTTTATGCAGCCTCTCAGCTTGCGCTCAGCTCCTCACACTTTTTTTTTTCTGCTTTTTTCCTGGTTATGGAAGCGCCTGGTTTTTCTTTGGTTTCTTTTTTGATTTTTACACGTTTCTCTTTATTTTTGCGGATGTTGTTGTTGCCCTTAGTGCGAAGCTTGGCAAATTTAAATTAAAACTTCGGCACTTTGCATTCCATCGTTGACTTTATGACTTGGGCTAACATGACAATGAAATTGCGCTGCCCTGCTGCTCCCTCTGCGGGGGAAGGGAGGTACGACGCGTGTGAGAAACTTTGAGTCGACATTTTGTGGTTGTAAAGCGTTAAACGCTTAAAACTTAAATCAGTTTTTTGTTTTCCCTTTTTTTTTCGTGTTTTTTGCTTTCTTATTTGCTTTTGTTTTTCGAATTATCGCTCAAGTTTAGCAGCTGAAAGTTCTTCAATTCTCCAACACCAGCCACACTCATCTCCATCTTGGGTCTACTTCGTATCATAAATTGCAAAGCGCGTTTGCATTCGCGTGAATTGTTTCCAAATTTGGTACATTTTAATTTGCTCAGACGCTGCTTATGTGCCACATGAAATTGCAGGCGAGCAGCTCGCCTCGCCCTGATGCTGATGCTGATGCTGACTGAAATGCTTCTTTGAATATTTTATACATTTTTCATTCGCGCGTTATATCGCAAAATAATTTTCCACACATTCCTGGCGTAACTTTGACATTGAAGCGAGTTTCAATGTGAGCGTACGTATGTGTGTGAGTGTGTGTGCGCGTGTGTGTGTGTGTGTGTATGTGTGTGCACGTCTGCCTCTTTGCAAAGGGATCAGCAACATTATGCCACGAGGCTGGACCTGCTGCTGGCTCCTGCAATTGCATGCCTTGGCCTTTAGCACCCGCTTGTCGGTAAATTTGCATATGTGTGTGTGTGTGCGTGTGAGTTGGTATTCATTTTGGGTTGAAATTTATGCAATGGCTTAAATAACCGCAAAAATGCCATTTTACCCCTGGCAAGTGACAAAAATGTGTGCGCTTAGGAAAATAAAAAATAATTATGCAACACAAAAAATACTGTTGATTTTTTTTTTCTCATTTTTTTATTTTTTTATTTTTATTGTTGTTGGAAGAGTGACTGAGTAAATTGGAAGGGCTGGCAGGAGTGGGTTGGTCTAGCACTTTAAATATTTCGTGTCAAGTTAAACTTTGTGCGCCGCAAAGAGCTTTTCTAAACATTTGCAGATGGCCCTCGGCTGCAGCAGGTGGCGTGTGTTTACCTGCATGTTTAAATTGAGTTCTTGTTGGCACCGATTCTGGCCGGGCTCTGCAAGGTGGGACAGAATGTGTGGACCACATTTAGTTTGTTGATCAAGTGTTCGAGCAGAGCTTTACGGATTCATAAGCTGAACCTCTGCAGCAGAATGTGCTTAAAGTGTTTCGGGCAAAGGTGCTTATACTTTATATTGTATACAGCATATGGAAATGTAATCGCAAGCAATTCTATATCAGAGTTTTCATTTTCAGACACACCCACACACGCTCACCGACAGGCAGACAGACATTTTCTTTCAGTTCGCCTGTTTATGCAAAATCAATAAACAGCTCGGAAAAGTGTCAAAAGCGAACGCATGGCAAATTCGTTTTTACATGTCAAAGAGGTTAGCACCAGGCAACAAGATGATGAGGCGCTGTCAACAAGGCCAAGAGCAACAGTCGGAGCAGCCAGGAGCAACAGCAAAGTATTGCCAAAGTTTAGCGTTAAAGGGTTCAAAGCTCACTCAGAGAGCGTAAAGGCGTCGAGGTGTGCGTGCGTGGGGCCACAGCAAGGTATCAAAAATCAATTTCCTGCCAGCTAGACCAAATGAAAAGCGAAAACTTTTGGTATTAGTTTGCCAAAGTGAAAGTCAAGCTAGGCCAGCAAAAAAAAAAAAAAAAAAAAAAAAAACAACAACAACAAGAAAAAAAGCCAAAAACTTCAAAGTTACTTACAACTTTCACCTGGCGTCGGCTGCGTCGGCAATAAAAAACATCGCAGTCAAAGTCAAATCCGTTGCCGCAATCAGCCAAACAATCAATAGTTTGATTAGCTCTGACTACTACGTGTTGACGCTGACACAACAACAGCAGCAGCAACAACAACAACAACAACAACAACACTCAAAATAGCAACCAGAACTATAGAAGGGAATCAGCTCTGAGCCAAAAAGTTTTGACAGCAAAAAACTTTTAACTGTTGCTTATCTGTGAGCGAGCCAAACTTGCAGCAGCAGCAGCAGCAGCAGGAGCAGGAGCAGAGGCAGCAACGCCTACCACAAGAGCTGTTGCCCGCGGCTATTTAGCTGGCATTCATTTGAGCAGATACACATAGTGCTAGTACTAGAGCGTTTAATGTGTGTATGAGGGAAAACAACTGAAAGTCAAATGGACAAAATATGCGCATAAATTTCATAGCTTTAAATGGCGAACAACTGCAAAAAAAAATAAAAACTTGCAAATGCGCACAGATAAGCGCATACAACTGAGGCAGAAAGCACAAAAAAAAAAAAAGAAACAACGATAACAAAAGAAAACATTGACAACAACAACAATGACAACAACAAGAAACAGTTGTAGCAAAAAACAAGCTCATCAGCAGCAGATGCAGAGGCAGTAGCAGGAGATACATTTAATAAAATTAAACAAATTGCAGAGCCCGTTACCTTGCGGCCTGCTGCTGCCGCTGTTGTTGCTGCTGCTGCTGTTGTTGCTGTTGGTGTTGCTGTTGCTGTTGGTGTTGCTGTTGGTGTTGCTGATGTGGCGCAAAGAGCTCTTGCCGAGTCTTTGAATTATTGTCAACGAGCGACAAAGTTTTGTGTGTGTGTGTGTATTTTTTTTTCTCGCTCTGCTTTTATTTTTTACTTTTAACAAATCCCAAGACTGCCACGCCCACTGCTTGTTGCCATATACAAATGAGTTGTCTGGGGGCGCGCAGCAAACGACAATTCATGTAAATTGCTTAATTTATTAGACTTTTTGCCGAAGCGGACGAGCAAGAGGGAATACTGCCTGCCTGCCCGCCCCTCTACCCAAATGGTTGCCTCGCACATCCGGCTGAGCCATGCGGCTTCCTGACTTTGACTGTGTCGCGACTTTGGCTTAAGTATTTCATTGCCTCTTGTTCTTGTTGTTGTTATTTCTGTTGCTGCTGCTGCTGTTGTTGTTGTTGCTGTTGTTGTTGAATTACTGGGCTTTTCTATTTGTACGCTGTAACAATTTTGTGCCAGGGCTTTGACGGGCTTTTGTTTTATTTGCCGGTACAAAAGTTTTTCCCAACGATCTCTCTTGACGCTTCTACATTTCTGTTTCCAGCATTTCAACATCTTTCTGCTGCTGCTGCTGCTGCTGCGTCGCTCTGTGAATTTGTTATCTTAATTCTTGTCATTTAAAAAATCTGCCACCATTTGTTTTTAAATAAAACTTAAGGCAATTGAATTCGTAAGCGCAAAGTTTGCATCTTCTCGTATTTTTGGCTAAGTTTTATCGCGTCATTTTTGTTGGCCCCAATCTGCTAGCGCGCGCTCTCTCTCTCTCTCCCTCTCTCTCACTCTGTTACGCATACGCCCTGTTGCCATTTAAAATGCGTGGAAAATGGGCAACAGGCACGTAATGAAAGCAACGTACGCTAAGTTAGGCAAGCATTTCTTAGCCCACACCCAGCCTGGCTGAATGCCCCACCTGGCGCCTTTATGTGCCGCTGTTCTGTCGTCGTCAGCTTAATGGCAGCATTCATACAAATCACGGCTGCCTGTGCCGGATCCCGGCTGCCATTGCACTTTTCACTGCTCCTGCTGGTGCTGCTGGTGCTGCTGCTGCTGCTTCTACTGTTTCCCTTTTCTTTTTTTGGGTAGTGGCATGAATAATATGTACACGGAGAAATTCCATAAAATGTAAGTGGAAAAGGGAAAAGGCAGCGAGCGTAAAGTGCAAGCAATGCCCGCCAAGCCATCCACACACACACACACACACACACCCAAATTGAACACACAGAGTCTCGCTCGCACAACCTGATTCATGCACGCTGTGGTAAGGCACGAGTATCCAAACTAGGTTACAAGTTGCAACTTGAAACTTGACGCCGTTACTTTATTTTTGGCAGCAACGGCAGCAACTGCAACCAGAAACTGCAGCAAGTTGCAGTGCAAGAAAATAAGATAAATGTGCAACATACCCGATGCGCTGGTGGGCGGAACTTGCGCTTAGTTCATCAAGTGCTGTCGCTTCACAAACACACAACAATGCGGATGGTACGCGGCATGCCACAATGCCGGCTATCACTTAGCGCCGTATCGCGTCATTTGGCACTCAGAATCAAAATCAGACTCGGACTCGTGCTCGGACTCGGACTCGGACTCCGCTTGCTGAGCCGGCTGGATGCACACCAGTAACTGGCCCGAACTGCTTCACTTTGTTGGCTGCTGGCAACTGGCAGCTGGCAGCTCGCAGTCGTTGCACAGCCGATGCGGCGAAAGGACAGCCGAACGACTGACTGACTTGCTGCTCTCAATTCGCCGTCGCCGGCCGACTTCGAATGCGAGAGGCAGCCCACTGGGATGCCAAAGAGAGCCGAATGCGAGCAGAGAGCACGCATACGCCGTGTGGGGCGCTCTTAAGTCTCGTATAACAGTTTCGTCACTTGCAATGCTCCATTTGCCAGCTGTGCTGTATGTGTGAATGTGCATGTGTGTGTGTGCTTTTGTGTGTGATTGTGTGAGTGTGTGAAATTGTGTCATTAGGTGCATTTGTTTTCGTTGTGCTTCCTCGCAACTGCCGCACCTGTCGCATCAGCCGTCACTCGTGCTGTTGTTGTTGTTGTTTGTGATGCTTCTTTTTCATGCCGTGTCACTTTTAGCTAAACTTTATTTATGTGTGTCTGTGTGTGTCTGTGTGTGTGTCTGTGTGTGTGTGTGTGTGTGTGTGTGTGTGTCTGTATGGTCTCATGCCCATATAAGTAAATGGCAACAATTATGTTTCGGAGTCTCATTAGTTGCAACTTAAAGTCTTCCAAAGCGTCAACTGTGGGGCCAGCAGGAGGCTGCTCTGTGTAAATGATGCCGTTAATGATGTAAGTACAAGCGAGCCAAGCACCTAGTTTTGAGGTCGAGTCTGTGTGTCAGGTTTATGGGTTTGTTAATTGGTATTAGCTGCAGTTGCCCCTTTGGGCGCATGCATATGCATATGTGCACAAATAAATAGATAAAATGCATATGTATGCATGTCTATATATACATATATTTATCATTTGGATCGTGTGCTCGAAACCCCAAAAAAAAGTGACAGACGGCAGCAGATACAGCGGCTGAAACAAAGCGGCCACAAAATGGCACAACTAATCACGCTGACGTTGACAGAAAAGCAACGAAGCCCAAGCCAAAAACTGAAAGGACGAGGCGAAAAGCAAGCCCAATACAAAAACAAAAACTAAAAGAGGGCGAGGCATAACCGGAGCAGCCACAACAAACAGCGTCAACAATGTGGACCCCGACCATAAAAATCACATGCGAGCCTCTTTAATGGAAGCTCAGGCCACCTTAACGGGCGCTGGCATACAGATTGTGTGCAGGTTGGCCAATGCTCTTGGCAAAGGCCAGGTCCGCAGGTCAGAGCCGGATTGCATGACTCGTGGCTGGGGCCACGCCACGCCACGCCACGCCAGAGGCAACTAATTTAAGCAACGCCCGTTATAATTACATCCCGTGCGACGGCGGGGGAGGGGGAGACGGCAGTAAAAGTGCTGGAAAATGATGCGCACGTGACATCCGGTGACGCGACGGACAGGTGGATGGCTGGCCAAGGATTGAGCTTGAAGCGGGGCGTGGCTGGGCGCAAAGTGCAAAAAAATTAGCCAAGCCAACCAACTGACAGCAGTCGGATCAACACAGAGGCAGCTGCTAGAACAAAGGCCAGCAAACGAGATACACGATCCAAAGGCAAACAAAAGCCAAGTAACCAACTGCACTGCAGTGCATCCGAGTCCGCCTTCTGCTGAGGCGCAGCACGCCGCAATTTCTTTTTCCCTTCTTTTTCCTTTTTTTTTTTTTTTTTTTTTTTGTTAGAAAATTATGCGCCAGTTGTACGACAGCCAAGGTACAAGCAGGTGGAAATGCAGATGGAAATGGGAATGGGAAAGACGAGCTCTGGCTCAGGCAAGGGGTATACAGGGTATAGAAAGTTTTGCATAATTCTGCTATTTTTTCTGCCATCACAGATCACTTTTGCTGGCGCCAAGGAAGGAAGTGGAAATGAAGGCCGGACTCGGTCTGAGTCTGACTCTGAGCCTGAGCCTGGGCCTGGCCCTGGGAATGGGAATGGGCGCTGAAGAAAATTAGTCTCGCTTTTGCGCGCTCGTCGGAAAATAATAAAAACTCAAGTGTAAATTTACTTCCGCTGCAAAAATGTGGCAGAGCGCTGACAGCTGCTGGCTTGGGCGTGGATCTGGGTGTGGGCGTGCCCCAAAGCGTCGAGGTGGACGCTGCAACTTTTTCTAATTAAGCGTACGTGCGGCTGTCAGCGACATCACGAGCCACTAGTCAAGCAGAGGCTAAGGCAGAGACGGAAATGAAGGCGAGGGCGGCGCGGGTTGCAGAAGGCGGGGAGGGGGCCGGAGCGACTAGCTGTTAACTTGTATAACTTATTGTCGTTGACAATTGTTTTAATTGAAAAGTCCCGGTGCTCGTATATACACATACATACACACATACACACGTACACACGTACACATTTCTATATCTAGATTTATGTATAGGTATGCTGTAGGTTTGCTGCATGTGCAGGTGGCGAATTTTCTTCAGCTGCTTAAGCCAACTTTAAGACGCCTCCTGGGCAATAACAATAACAATTCAATCAACGCAGCCGTCCGGCTAACAAATGCTGACTCATTTATTTCCTAGCTGCCAGACAGGAGCGTACAGCCAGTAAATAGTTGGCCGAGCGCTGCGCAGCTCCTGCAACAGTTGTAAGCATTTGTCTTGCCCCATGGCGCTGAGCAGGTCGTTGCAGCCGTGGCCCGTGCTTGATGCTGCACGCTCTCTCTCCCTCTCCCTCTCTCTCCCTCTCTCACTCTCTCTCTCTCTCTTGACTGCCACTTGTCTGACCAGCTTGAGCTAACAATCGCTCGAGAGCAACTTGAAGCTCTAATTGAAGGCATGCCTCTTGCTGCTGTCTCAGTTGCAGTTGCAGTTGCAATTGCAGTTGATGTTGTTTCGGCATAGGACGCACGCAACATGGCTCGATTAAGCCAGCTCGCATAACTCAGGACACAACTCAAAGCCCATTTCCTGCCCACCGCCGCGCTGCTGCCTGGCCCATTCATCATGCCATGGGCGATGCACACGCCGCTTAGCCGTGCATCATAAATAAGCCTAGGCCAGGTATCGCAAGTGGCTGTGGCCAGGTGGAGCAAAGTTTCTTAATTTTCGTTACGTCGTAAATTTACTTAGCACCCATGCCAGCAGATCGCTCATACGACGCGTATTATAGGACATCGCCGCCATATTGTTGTGCGACGCAGCGTTGCAGAAAATCGCTTAAGATGCCTCTTCACGGCTTCGCAAAGTTTGCTTATTTTATTTTTAGTTTTTTTTCCTCCCCCTTACTCGATTACTTCTTCCTCTTCTTCTTCATTTTTGCTGAGCAACGGGTTTCAGCTGCCGCCTACATTAGTTCGCTATGGCTCAGACGCCTCAGCCGGCTTGAAGTTTTGCCAGGTTTGCGTGTTCTCAATGTGATTTGGCTCCCCCTCAGTTTGCCCCTTTCGCACATTCATTTGAGATTTCCATTTCTATTGGAAGTCGCGTCGTTTACTTTTCGATTCGTTTCGTTTTGAAACCTGTAATTACGAGCTGGCGGTTTTCATGCTCACGGTTTAACTTTCAACAGCTGCCACTCCCACTTTTCCCATTCAGCTGCACTTGCCCAAGTTGCAGCCCCCGCCCCCGACCCAGCCAAACAGAGAAAACTTAGTCATACGAGTGCATACACACACTCACACGCACACACACATAGACTATATACTATATATAATTTTCGTTGTCGATTTCGGCGTGTTTTTTGGGTTTTTGCTGCACAAGTTTGAGTTAGTTTTGTTTTGTTGGCGTTTCTAATGCTTTGGAAGAAGTTCTTGGTAGTTTCTGATTGCGTTGCAATTGCAACTGAAATCGCAATTGCAATTGCAATAGCAATTGCGAAAAGATTGCATATTTGATTTGTGCTGATTTGCGTTCCTTGGCAACGGCGCTCCTTGTCTTAGCAGCTCATTATGCGACTGCCACGCTTGATATGCGTATACATAAGAACAGCAACAGGCACCAAAATGAGTTCCCAGCAAATGTTGTTGTTGGCTTCTTCTTGGCGGATCCTAATTAGAAAAGTTGCCCCTTTCCTGCGGCACGCGCGTGAGCCGTACCCTTGGTTCCCTCTCATCTTGGCGCTTGGCGCAGCGAAGCTTCTATTAACGCGTTAATAGAGTCCCAGCATTATTGAGAGTTTTGCCAACGAGTTTGCAGGCAAATTTAAAATTGTCAGCAAAAAATGAAACAGAACCAAAAAAAAAAAAGAAAAGGGTTAAAAAATCAAGGCGCAAAATACGGTTCACTTAATTTGCATTTAATTACAAAGTTACACAAAGTCGCAGAAAAAAGGCCAGAAAAACGCATTAAATTAACGCGGACGCCTGTCACGCCCACTCGCTGGACAGGCCGGACGACAGACCGACAGCTGCTCAATGCCAGCTCAATAGCAGCGCAAATATTTGCACACACGCTGACGGAGAACTGAATGCTTAAAAAGTATAAACCATTCCAATGAAATTCCATAAATACTCTTACGATATATCCGAATTTTTATATTCGGCTGATGTTGAACCAATCAGAGCTCGACTTGTATATACTCCTTGATGAATATAAAAGATAATCCAGCTAACGGCTATATATGCTTTGCTCAGGCATTACTGAATATGGCATATTAATGCATTTTTGGGCAATCCAATTTGTTTTAGATCTTTAGCCAATTCGCATTTAATCAAAAGTTTATATATTTCGCTATAATTGCTGACCCAAAACTCTAACCGAAAAAGTTATTGTAGAAAGGTCTATCCAAGAAAAGTTTCTGATATACAATTACATTACATATAAAATGTCAATATATATAAATCTCACTTTATGGGCTTTGTTTGCTTGTTTCTTTAGATTTGAATGAGTATATAACCTTAACAAGAAATCATATCCAGTATATTTACATTAAAAGATTATAACTCGTTTGGTAGTAAAAAAGGCCTTAAAGCTGCACTGGCAATCAATAATAAAACAGTTAAGAGGTAAGTTGAAGACGGGTTCAAATGACTACAAAATACTCTGCCATGCTAATTACTTAATGAAAGGATGTGCCGAGCCTTTACTGTTTATTGATTGAAATTGATCTTTAAATTTTGCAATATTCGCTTATTACATATACAAATTTTAAACAGCGAGTTT